TGGTCTTGAACCCCTGGACTCAGCCAATCCTCTCACCTCTGCCTCCCAAAGTTCTGGGATTACAGGCGTAAGCCACTGCACCCAGCCTCAACAAATATTTAATGAATACCTGCTGTGTGCCAGAAACTGTTCTAGGCTCTGAAAGTTAATTATGACCAAGATAAGACAGTGTTCCCGCCCCTCATAAAACTGACTTTAGAATGGAGAAGGTGGGGAGATAGCTCATAAGCATAAGAAATAAGTTAAAACACTGGCAAGTGCACAAAGGAAGTAGGAATAGAATGCCATTATATGATAGAAAATAACTGGGATAGAGATCAGAGGGAGACTATTTTAGATGAGACCAGTCAGGAAGGGGCTCTTAGGATGTGATGTTTGGTTTGAGAGAAGCCTGGCATGCAAAGAGCATATGGGGGATGGCAGGTTAGTGTTCCAGGCAGAAGCAAATGCCAAGGTCTGAGGAGCGAACCAGCATGGATGAAGCTATGGTAGGTGGTGGTGAAGGGAGGAGTTGTGGAAGTCAAGACCTGCAGGGACCTTCAGGGGATTGGGTTTTCAATCTAAACAGGTGGAGGTGTTAAGCAACTCTTGATGATTTGTCAGCAGAATGGGTTTAGTCTCTTAAGCCATTTTATTGATCATCTCTCAAGACTAAGTATTAAAACAAAAATGCCAATTTGTTAATTTTTCAGAAAGAGAAATTTTTATCACCAAGAACTACAGTACTCCTTTCTGCATAACCAGCAAGTGCTGTCCTAGTGAGCATTTTGAAGGAACCTTTCTTTCTTTCAGCAAATATTTAATGAATACCTCTTGTGTGCTAGACACTGTTCTGGGCTCTGGAAGTTAATTATGCTCAAGATACGGTTCCTGCCCCTTGTAAAGCTGCCTTTGGAATGGAGAAGGTAGAGAGATAGCCAAGAAGCATAAGAGATAAGCTTTTAAACATTGGTAGGTATACCAAGGAAGTAAGGCAATGTGACAAGCCACATCACAAACAGGTTGACTTGGGAGCTCAGAGCATATGTGTCCTCATAATCAGTGATTCCAGGCTGAGAGAATTGGGTGTACTGAATCTTGGCCAGGATCAGTGGCCAAGATACTCTTTGAGGAGTCCAAGGTCTGGCAGAGCTTACGTTGCTGCTTACCATTTCCTGTGCTTGTGAGACTGGCTGACTCTCATGTTATCCTCTGATGTATTTCTCTTCAAACCAAAATAATGTTTGGGAGTACTACTGCTTCCTTAGAGTGACTTTGCAAGTATTGATTCCACTCCCAGACTCCCAGAGTGCCCAGGAATTGTCATACAACATCTTCCTGATGGACCTGTGCTGCTCAGACAGTTCTCCCTCTCAGAAAAAAATGCCTCTTGGTGGAGGTGCCCTGAATAGTGAGAAGCAGGTGGCTATACCAAGATTTCAGGGAGGAGCAGTCCAGGTGAAGGCAGCAGCAAGAGCAAAAGTCCTGAGATGTGGGCAAACAGGAGAATGTCTTGTGACTGGACAAGGTAGAGGGCCTTGAGGTCTGCGGTGAGTGTTTAGATTTTCTCTCAAATCATGATGGTATGCCAGGCTCGGTGGCTCAGCCTGCAATCCCGCCACCTTGGGAGGCTGAGGTGAGTGGTTTGCCTGAGCCTGCAGGTTCGAGACCTGCCTGGGCAGCGAGACCTCATCTCTACAATAAATCAAAAAATCAGCCGGGCGTGGTAGCGCATGCCTGTAATCCCGGCTACTTGGAAGGCTGAGGCGGAAGGATTGCCGGAGCCCAGCAGGTCGAGGCTGCAGTGGCCAGGAGCGGCCACTGCACTCCAGTCTGGGCGACAGAGTGAGACTCCAACTCAAAAAAAAAAAAAATCATGATGGGATGCCATTGAAGGGTTTTAAGCAGAAGAGCGATATAATCTAATTTACACTGTAAAAGAAGTTCCCTCTGGGTGAATGATGGGCTTTGGAGAGACAGAAGAGAAAGAGACCATATGGGAACTTGGTCCTGAGTCACAGGAGGTTATAGTTTTCTGAAGTAGAGATACGGAAGAGAGGTGGTAAGAAGTGCTTGGATTGAGAATATATTTAGGAAGAAGAGCTATCAGAATTTGCCAGTCCAGCCCAGGCAACTTGGCAAGACCTTGTCTCTACAATAAATAAAAAAAAAATTGACTGACCCTGGTAGCGTGTGCCTATAGTTATGGCTACTTGGAAGGCTGAAGTGGAAGGATCACCAGAGTTCAGCAGGTCGACGCTGGGGTGGCCATGAGCGTGTAACTGCACTCCAGGCTGGGCAATGGAGTGAGACTGCAACTCAAAAAAAAAAAGAATTTGCCAATGGATTGGATGTAGGATATGAAGGAACTAGAGATGATGTGTAGGAGACACTTGTTTAGTTATTGGAGAAGTCTGTAGAAATCAGTGGTTTTGGCTAGAGAGAAGGGGAATCAAGAGTTGTGATCGGATTACCTTTGAGATGTCTTTAAGGTGTGTAAAGAGATGTCAACTACGTAGTCAGGCATATGAGAATGGAGCTCAAGAGTAAAATCTAGACTGGTGCAGGAAATATGATAGTACAGGAATAATCTATAAAACTCCAGGACCAGATGCAGTACTATAGGGAGACAGAACAGAGGTCTGGAGTATCCCACCCTAGGGAGGTGTTGGGAAGAAGAGGAGCAGAAGGAGTTGGCAGAGGAAACCAAGAAGGAGCCATCAGTGAGGCAGGAGGAAAATGGAGTAGGTTTGGAGCCACCAAATTGAATGAAGACAGTGTTCCCCGGAGGAAAAAACATTTTAAAATATTACAAATGAGGGATAGGGAAAGGTAAAAGAAGGTAACTGACTCTTGATTTCGACAAGATCTAAGTGTGGTAAAAGCTGTTTTAGTGGCATTAGGGGATGAAAGTCTGATCAGTGAAGCGAGAAGGGGTAGGAAGCATGGAGAAGGAGGAGACAACGTGTTTTGCTCAAGTGGGGAGTGGGGCAGTGTCTGGTGGGGATGTGGGGCTGACAGGGTGGTTGATGAAACGGATTTGTTTGCCAAAGGGGATATTACAAGAAGAAATGAGGTGATTTCATGATCCTTGGGAAGGCAAGAGTGTACATAGCTTCCAGCACCCAGGTGGAGGGTCCGCTTGTGGCAAGAACAGGGCATGTCTGGCACTAGGACAAGAGCGAAGTCAGGCTGTGTGGACCCAGATACAGGTAAACTGGTGGAATTGGTGGTGAGCTGCAATGAGATGGATCTCCTCTGCTCGTGTATTTTCTCAATTTAGTGAGAGTTGAGTCAGGAAGGAATGAGAGACGTGACAGGAATATCAGAGCTTGGAGGAGAGAGGAGGTCAGTCATCTTGGAAAGGGTAAAATTAATTTATGGGAAGGCCATGTTTGTTGCTTGCCTGAAATTTGCAGTAAGTCCAGATGGCAGACTGTGAGAGTTTTTTTCCTCTCTTGACTTGCAGTTTCTTAGGTACAGGTGTGAAGTACTGTAGCGGAAGAGAGGGGCAGAAGCATTATGGAAAACTTAGCAACGGAGTAGATCTTGTGCCAGACTCCAGAATCTCAGCAGGGCATTGAGGAAGGTCAGGGCTGGACCAAGGGGTAAATACTGAAAGTGCATTAGGATCCCTGAAAGGCAGCCACTTCACTGAGTCCTTCTCGATCTACTAATGGACTCAAGATAGATAGAAATTAGCCGGGCTTGGTGGCTCAGCCTGTAATCCCGTGCCTTTGGGAGGCTGAGGTGAGTGGATTGCCTGAGCCCTCGGGTTCGAGATCGGCCTGGGCAGCGAGACCTCATCTCTACAATAAATCAAAAACTCAGCCGGGCATGGTAGCGCATGCCTGTAATTCCGGCTACTTGGAAGGCTGAGGCGGAAGGATCGCCGGAGCCCAGCAGGTTGAGGCTGCAGTGGCCGGGAGTGGCCACTGCACTCCAGTCTGGGCGACAGAGTGAGACTCCAACTCAAAAAAAAAAAAAAGATAGATAGAAATTCATAAAGACCTAGGAAGAAAACTGTTTTTCCTATATTCACACAACAAATGTGTAGGGATTCCACACAAAGCAGTTCTTCAGTTCTCTATGGACACTATAATGTTTTTCAATAATTCTGAAATTATTTCTGTAGTAATTCCGACACTACCCAGAGTTAGCACAGACCCCACAGGTTAAGAGCTCAGTCCTTCAAGATTGCTCCCAACTTCAGATGCCAATCACAAGTCCCAGGGTGTGTCACTTACCCTCTGACCAACCAGCTGTAAATTGGGGGATTCCCATAACCTCTACCTCAGGTTTGGTAGTTTGCTATAATCACTCACAGAACTCAGGGAAACATTTACTTAAATTTGCTTTTTTATTATAAAGCATATTGCAACAGATAAAGATGAACAGCCCGATGAAGGGTTACATAGGATGCGGTCTATGGGAAGAGGTGGAAAGCGTCCATGCTCTCTCCAGGTGTGCTGCACTCCCAGCACCTCAATGTGTTCACCAGCCTGGAAGCTCTCAGAACCCTGTAGTTGAGGGATGTTTATGGAGCTGTCATGTAGGCATGATTGATTATTAACTCAGTCTAAGGTTCTATTCTCTCCCCTTCCTGGAGGATGAGGGGCTGAGGCTGAAAGTCTTAAGCTTCTAATTATGGCTTGATCTTTCTGGTGGCCAGCTCCCATCCTGAAGCCATTTAGGAGTTCATCAGAAGTCACCTCATTAGTACAAAAGACACCCCTATCACCTAGGAAATTCCAAGGGCTTTAGGAACTCTGAGTCAGGAACTGGAGGCAGAGGCCAAATATGTATTTCTGATGTCACAGGATCCAGCCCTATTGCTTCCTCCTCTTCTTACAGAGCAATGAGTTCCAATGTTAGCCCTGTCATTCTCTAGATGTTCTAACAATTACCAATTTTTATTGGGTTCAAAAGTACTTAAAAGTTGTCACCTTTCTACAAGACCTGCTTGAAACACCTTTGCAGAGAAGTGCAACCAAGACTAACGCAGCCTGGTTTGTGCCTAGGTGCCTGAAAGAAGACCCTGCTACCATGTCCCTGTTGCAGAGAAGCCTTGATCCTGAGAAGACCCTGGGTCTGGTGGACGTGCTCTATACAGCTGTGCTGGACCTAAGCCGCTGGAGAGCAGGGAGGTTGGTGTCTGTGCCAGTCACTTGAATTGGCTGTGCAAGTAGTTTGCATTTAGGTCCACAACCAGTGACAGTGTGACCATCTCAGAATAATTTAAACTTGCAGAAAAATCACAAGAATAGTAAGAAGAATTGCTCTGTACCTTTTACCCAGATTCCTCAATTTGCTAATAACATTTTTGCTTTCAATTATTTTATCATTGGAGAGGAAGTCCGTTAAGAAGACTTTGAACTAAGAGCAGAGAAATGTTTAGAAAATTTACTTATTTCCTTCATGAAATTTATTTATACCTGAAAATAGCTGAAAGTTGTAAGATTCTCTCTTTGTGAATTGTTAATTTTAGAACTGGTAGGGACCTTAAACATTTAGCCATGTCCCCCTCTCCCTTTCTTTCTTTCTTTCTTTTTTTTTTTTGTTTTTTTTTGAGTTGGAGTCTCACTCTGTTGCCCAGGCTAGAGTGCAGTGACACACTCATGGCCACCACAGTATCAACCTGCTGGGCTACAATGATCCGTCTTCCTCAGCCTTCCAAGTAGCCGGAACTACAGGTGTGCACTACCATGCCTGGCTAATTTTTGATTTATTGTAAAGACAAGGTTCTTGCCAAGTTGCCCCTCAAACCCCATGGGCTCAGGCAATTCTCTCACTTGGGCCTCCCAAAGTGCTGGGATTATAGGCGTGAGCCACCGCACCTAGCTTCCCTCTGCCTTTCTTAACTCATGAGTACACAGATGATTTCTTCAGGATCACACTAGCCGTCATCTACCTCAGCTCTTGCCCCATGTCCTTTCTATCTGTAGGACTCTCTTTTAGTGTGGGAAAAAAGTGCTCAGAAAACTTTGGAAGTAACAACCATCTGTTGGGATAACAGTGGTGCATAGTATCCCCAAGTCCTCCCTGCCACCTCCCTCTGCTTTGTGGATGTGTCCATTGTCCTGCTGGATCTGCACATTCTCCAGGCACAAAGCTATCTTCTGCCAGTTGCATTCCCTACTCCAGCCATACTTTGTTTTCCTAATCCTAAACTACTGTTAGAGGACTTCATTCCATCAGACTTCTCAGGGCAGAATCCTAATGTTACAGTTTGCACAGTCCCGTGTGTTGCAGGTTACATACTCTTAAAACCCTTGGTGGCCGGGCTCAGTGGCTCAGCCTGTAATCCCGTGCCTTTGGGAGGCTGAGGTGAGTGGATTGCCTGAGCCCGCGGGTTTGAGACCCGCCTGGGCAACTTGGCAAGACCTCATTTCTACAATAAATCAAAAAATTAGCTGGGCACGGTAGCGCACGCCTGTAGTTCCAGTTACTGGGAAAGTGAGGCGGAAGGATCGCCAGAGCCCAGCAGGTCAGGGCTGCGGTGGCTAGAGCGGCCACTGCACTCCAGTCTGGGTGATAGAGTGAGACTCCAACTCAAAAAAACAAAAAACAAAACCCTTGGGTGTTCATTTATTTAACTATAAAATAAGTAAGCTGGATATCCACCAGAGAGGGCTTTCTCATTTTTCACCCTAAAAGGCATTTCAGTCTCTAATTTATATATTCGCCTTTTTTTAAAAAAATAAATTTCTCTTTAAATAGGGAGCAAGCTTTACCCTGCATACAGATCCAACTTCAAAGGGAGATCTGTGATTTTGGAAATCAGGCTGACCTGCCTTCTGGAAATGGAAACAAATCTTCAGGTGGCCTGCAGAAGACATTCTCCAAACTGACATCTCGTTTCACCAAGAAAGTTTCATGTACCAGCTCTAGCAGCAGCACAAATTATTCCATCCAAAATACCCCTTCCAAAAACATCTTTATAGCTGGATGTTCAGAAGAGAAGGCCAAAATGCCTGGTAATGTTGATGCCAGGTTACAAAGCATTTTGAACATTGGTAATTTCCCTCGGACTGCAGACCCTTCACAGCCAGCTCAGAATTCCAGCGATCCAGTGGCCAATGGTTTTCTCCTCGAGAGGCGTGAGAACTTCCTGCATGGGGATGGTGGCCCGGATGAAAAGGGCATGAATTTACCAACCGATCAGGAAATGCAAGAGGTGATCGATTTTCTCTCGGGCTTCAACGTGGGCCAGTCCCATCAGGGCTCTCCATTGGTGACAAGGCGTAATTCTGCTGCGACAGCCGCAGTGACTGAGCAGAAGACAGGAGCCGTGCAGCCACAGCAGTCATCACTGCCAGTGCCCCCTCCACCACGACCACCCCAGGCTGGGGCCCACACACCCTTGACACCCCAGCCAGGACTGGCACCTCAGCAGCAGTCCCCAAAGCAACAACAGCCCCAAGTCCAGTACTACCAACACCTACTCCAACCTATTGGACCACAGCAGCCCCCGTCCCAGCCTCGGGCACCTGGGAAATGGGTACATGGCTCATCCCAGCAGCCAGCACAGACTGTTGGAGCAGGTCTGTCTCCTCTTGGTCAGTGGCCTGGCATATCTGATCTCAGTTCTGACTTATACAGCTTGGGTCTGGTGAGCAGCTATATGGATAATGTGATGTCGGAGGTTTTGGGACAGAAGCCACAGGGACCTAGAAATAACACCTGGCCAAACCGTGACCAAAGCGATGGAGTATTTGGAATGTTGGGAGAGATTCTGCCTTTTGATCCTGCAGGTATGTGAGGCCTCCCCACTCCTTACCCAGTTTCAACATAAAATATATGTTGCTGAGGACTTCATAGGGCCTGTCTGCCACAGCTACTTGTAAAGGTAAAATAACATAATCCCCCAGTAAGATCTGTTCTCATTGTAAAGGCAAGCATGGGGCAGATCTAACAAGAGTGGGAGACAATTGTGTGAAAGAGGCTGAAAAGGTAGGCGGAACTATTTTTCTTAACTTTATAGAGAACAGAATTGAGACTAAGAGAAGTTATTTGGATGACTCAAAGTCCATAGTTCAAGTGGCTTCCAGTCTGGGCCCTCCCATTCTCAGGAACCAAGTTATATAGCCCTTTGTGGGGTACTTTTCCCAACAACATAACCTGTTCTTGTGAGTCTTTTTCCTCAAACTCTTGAACCTATAAAGGTGGTAGGGCACCCTCTTGCCTTCATAGAATACAGCTTCTCCTGGCCTAGATTAGTGCAAAAATACCACCAGAGTCATCTAAGAAAGAATTTTAGAAACATGTTTAAATGTATATAAAGTAGTGGGCAGTAAGGAAAAAAGCCAAAATTAAGTAAATTAAAAAGAGAGATATAGGCCAGGCTCAGTGGCTCAGCCTGTAATGCCAGCACTTTGGGATTAATCCCACCACACCTGGCCTAAAATGTGTTCTTTAATCTAATATTTTGCAAAGCTTATACTATTTATTTCATTTCCTTTTGTCTTACTCCATTTGCTACAAAGTCCAAGACAATGTTACATGCTACTGGTGATAAGAGTTGCCCTTGTCTGATTCCTGATTTTTAAGTGAATTGATTTTTGTTTCAATATGCAAAGCACTGTTATAAGCTTTTGGTACATAGTCTTTTTTATATTCAAGAAATGTCCTAGCCAGGCTTGGTGCTCAGCCTGTAATCCCACTCTTTGGGAGACTGAGGTGAGTGGATTGCCTGAGCCTGTGGGTTCGAGACCCGCCCAGTCTGGAGCCATGGAGTGAGACTCCAACTCCAACTCAAAAAAAAAAAAAAAGAAAGAAAGGTCCTTCTATTCATATTTACTTTGAGGGATTTGTTTTGTTTTGTTTACGAACTGCTGGTGTCTTTATCAAATATTTTTATAGCATCCACTGATAAAATCAGTTTTTTTTTCTTAAATTGATTGATATACAGGATTATTCTGTAGTAGCAGAACTCCTTATACCTAACCACCTCTTATGCCCCTGAATTAACAGTGATTACTCCTTTTTCTTTTTCTTTTTTTTTTTGAGTTGGAGTCTCACTCTGTCACCCAGAGTGGAGTGCAGTGGTTGCTCCCGGCCACCGCAGCCTCGACCTGCTGGGCTTTGGCAGTCTTTCCACCTCAGCCTTCCAAGTAGCTGGAACTACAGGTGCACGCTGCCATGACCGGCTAATTTTTGATTTATTGTAGAGATGAGGTCTTGCCAAGTTGCCCAGGTGGGTCTCGAACCCGTGGGCTCAGGCAATCCACTCACCTCAGCCTCCCAAAGGCGCGGGATTACAGGCTGAGCCACCGAGCCTGGCTGGGGTATGCAGATCTTATGCCCTCGGGGCACACAGTCTGTAAGAAAGTTTATCATGAACTTGAGGGTCAAAAAGGAACAACCAGAAGGAAAAGAGTAGGATTTGTAGGCCCAAAGACATAAGAGTTGTCAGAGACTCAGTAGAAGTCAAACATAGTAAAATTATTCTACCAAACACTATTTATACTCTGTATTTAGTTACGTGACCATCAAAAACTGTACAGACCAAAGGCCACTGCCTTGCTGAGCTATGGTGTGGCCATGTGCTCTTTGAGCTATGGCCAGGCCATATTTTATTAAGCTTTGGCCCCCTCTCCTGCCTTGGGGAGGTGAATCACCACTTTCTCTTTCTAATTTACTTTCTAAACAAACTATATTTTCTAATCTAAAAAAAATGTATAGATTTAACACCAATTGAGAAAACCTGAATTGTCCACCCCCGCCGATGGCAGCTGATGGCTTGCTCTTTCACAGCAGGTGGAACTGTTTATACTTTTTGTGTCCCAGGGCTGTAGGCACAAGGTTTTCTGCAGCCATTCACTCAAGGGCACTCAAGGGGAGCAAGACCGAGAAAGCACAAGCCAAAGTGTGAGGGATCTTTAGAAGATGTAAGAAAAGTTTCCTTCCTTTCGTAGTTAATGCTGGGGTGACTAACAGAGATCAAGGCCTTAATCTGAGCCACCACTGTCCCCTGGTATGAGCATTTTTGTGTGGTGCACATATGGCACAGCCTCATGCCATTGTCCTCTGACAAGCTGATAACGGGGTTGTAGCCTAATATCTTTCCCAATTTGAAGCTAAAATGTGCGCTGCTGAGGCATATTTGATTTGTGGTCCGCAGATACTCTCCTGTCTTGTCTTTTTGGCCCTTTCTTTGAGTGCCATCTGTGCTGTCATTTTTCTCCCATTTGTACTGCTCTGGACAAACTTATTTGTCCAGTATGTTTCTAGTTACCTCTTAAAACATTCTGTGCTGGGCACAGTGGCTCACACCTATAATCCCAGCACTTTGGGAGGCGGAGGTGAGAGAATTGCCTGAATCCACAGGTTTGAGACCAGCAACATGGCAAGATCTCATCTCTACAATAAATCAAAAAATTAGCCGGCCGTGGTGGTGCACACCTATAGTTCTAGCTACTTGGAAGGCTGAGGAGGAAGGATTGCCTGAGCCCGGCAGGGTGAGGCTGCGGTGGCGAGCATGCCACCGCACTCGAGCCTGGGTGACAGAGTGAGACTCTGACTCAAAAAATAAAAATAAAAATTTTGAAATTTCATCATATTCTTTGCTCAGCAAGGCATCATCTTCAGTTGAAACGAGCAAGTCTCTCATCCAATATCCAAGAAAATATGGATCAAAGTTTGGCTCAAGTGGGATTGGCATATATCCTCTATCTTGCTGACCCTGATGCTTTAATAACTTTCCAGTTCTCATTGGGCAAAGTCGTCATCTGATTTTGTAAGTTGTTAGCTGATGACTCTAGGTACAAACCACCAAGACTTTGGAAAATTTCAAGGTAGCTAGTATCTTTCTTTAAAAATCTAGTCATGGATAAATTAAACTGTTTATCTCTTTTTCTGTTTTTCTTTCATGCTCACCTTGCCTCTGCCTGGGCATAACTCTTCCTTACGCCTCTGCACACACCATATCCCAACTTCAGACCTATGCGCTAGAAGCCCCATCTCATTATAGCAGGGAGCAGGGCATAGCTTACAACTAACTCTGTAGAGCACAAGCCTGGCTGCTTCTCACAACTTCTCATTGTGTGTGTGACCAGCACATCCTCAGAGGGTAGGGAAGGAACCCAGAGGCCAGTTTGACCCCAACCCTCTTTATTCCTTTGTCTCAACACAGTGGGCTCAGATCCAGAGTTTGCACGCTATGTGGCAGGAGTGAGCCAGGCAATGCAGCAGAAGCGCCAAGCCCAACACAGTCGCCGTCCAGGCAACCCCCGGGGCAACTGGCCACCCATGGATGATGCCCATCGGACCTGGCCCTTCCCAGAGTTCTTCACAGAAGGGTGAGTGCTAGGTACAGCAGGGAAGCAGGGTTTGGGACCCTGTCACCCTGTGGGCCTCTGAGGAGGAAGAACCCTTGGCCTTTATTCTTGTCAGGCAATTCTATTCCAAGCCTCCTTGTAAGAGAGTGACATGTGATTAAATCTTCAGGAGGTCAGAGTTTTGTGACTGACTGTAAGATGTCAGGTGCCATGATGTGTCCCTGTGAACACACCATTGGTATAAATTTATGATTTTCAAGACAGACTATTTAGCCCTACACAAGGATCTTATTTGATGATGTTTGTGAAGTAACTGCCTATATAACACAGTCCTTATGCTTTTGAAATAAGTGTGGCTGTGAAATTTATGATTTATGAAGTGCTATCACTGTATAGACTACAAAAAGCAAAGGAATATGGTTTAGATTCCAGTTTATTAAAAGAAGTGTGGATTTAATCATAAAGACAGCTGGGGATTTTTTACTTCCCATATTGCTACCTGCTTAATAATTCTGAATGACTAAAGGCCATCTCAACTTCTTGTTTTCTCTAAAGTAAATTTCATATACAAATCACAGATTTCATAGAAGAATAAAGTGATGAATATGTATTACTTTTGAAATAAGGAAAAGAAAAATGTTTTTAGAAGGGAGAGACAAGAGATGACTTTGATTATGAGATGAATGCAGGGTAATGCCTGCTCTATCAGGGCTAGGGTGGAGTGTGGGGGCTAGCTTCGGGAGGCCCTGAACCAACTTTTCTATTTGGCTTTCAGGGATGGCTTGCACAGCGGCTGGTCGGGTGCTCAGGGAGACTCAGCAAGCTCGAGTGATGAGACATCCTCAGCCAACGGAGACAGCTTATTCTCCATGTTTTCAGGGCCTGACCTCGTTGCTGCTGTCAAGCAGAGAAGGTACAAAGAGATTTGTAAACCAGGGAGAGGAGAGATGGGCATGTGAATGTGACCCACACTTAGTTCTCTGGGAAAGTCAGGAACATAGTCACTCCCAATCTGCCTTGTGTGAGAGGGTCAGTCAGGCAGAAGGCCTCTAAAGAGCATCTTCAGGAGGTATTTTCCGTAAGGATGGGCTGGCCTCATCTTGTGAGGCCTCTATGGGACCACCACACAGATTGGTAGCCCATTTGACTTAATGTTGAGTTGAGTTGTTGCTGGCAGAACAGTCTTAGAGTAGCCAAAAATACCAATATGACAGGCCAGGGAGGATTTGGGACACAGGGTCAGCCGATGCTTGTCTATGTCTTGCGGGAGGCACCCCCTTTCTACAGGAGGAGCAGGGCCAGGAACAACTACTTCTAATCTAATCTGGGCCTGGCCCTCTCTGACCCTCCGTTTCTTTGTCAAAGGTAGTTAAAAATGACCTGAGTGAGCTGGGCTCGGTGGCTCAGCCCGTAATCCCGCATCTTTGGGAGGCTGAAGTGAGTGGATTGCCTGAGTCCGCGGGTTCGAGACCCGCCTGGGTAGGCGAGACCTCATTTCTACAATAAATCAAAAAAATTAGCCGGGCGTGGTAGCGTGCACCTGTAGTTCCAACTACTTGGAAGGCTGAGGCGGAAGGATCGCTGGAGCCCAGCAGGTCGAGGCTGTGGTGGCCGGGAGTGGCCACTGCACTCCAGTCTGGGCGATAGTGAGACTCCAACTCAAAAAAAAAAAAATGGCCTGAGTGGTATTTGAATTAAGTAGTAATGTAGCACATTTAAGTCTAAGAAGGTTTCAAAAGTCACAAAAATTAAAATGTGTTCTAACTAAGAGAAGTGTTTGGTTTGAAAGAAGTAGAGGGACTGCTAAGGACATGAGAAAGCAAAGGCCAGAGGTGACAAACTAAGGGACATGGAAAGGAGTGGAGAACACGGAAGTCATATTGTGGTGTGGAAAGGGGGTCAGGTTATGTGGTCCTCATGTGACAGGATCAGGCTTGACTGAGTCAGCAGTAGGGAGTGGGTAAGTGAAGACAGAAGGGTACCTGAGATACATAGAATAATTCTGGAGATAATGACGGTAATTGATCACTAACACAAATTAGGGTGCTTTGTGTGTGCCAGACCCTGGGCTAAGCATTTACATACATTTTTTTTTCCACTTAATTCTCACAACCACTGTGCTTATTTGTTAGGTCTGCATAGGTACTTCCGTCTGGGTGACTGAAACAAGAAATGTTTCTCAGTTCTAGAAGCTAGAAATCTGAGATCAAGACGTTGGTTTCTTTTTTTTTTTTGAGTTGGAGTCTCACTCTGTCTCCCAGGCTGGAGTGCAGTGGCATGCTCACTGCCACCACAGCCTTGACCTGCTGGGCTCAGACCATCCGTTCTCCTCAGCCTTCCAAGTAACTGGAGCTACAGGCGCATGCCACCACGCCCAGCTAATTTTTGATTTATTCTAGAGACAAGGTCTTGCCAAGTTGACCAGGCTGGTCTCAAACCCTTGAGCTCAGGGAATTCTCTTGCCTCTGCCTCCCAAAGTGCTAGAATTACAGGTGTGAGCCACTGCGCCCAGCCTAAAATTTTGATTTATTGTAGAGACGAGGTCTTGCCAAGTTGCCCAGACTGGTCTTGAACCCCCAAAGTGTTGGGATTTATAAGAGTGAGCCAACGTGCCCAGCATAGGGTTGGTTTCTTCTGAGATCTCTTTCCTTGGCTAGTAGATAGCCATGTTCTTTTTTCTTCATGTGGTCTTCACTTAGTGTCTGCGTCCTAATCTTTTCATAAATCATATTGGATTAGGGCCCAGACTAATGACCTCATTTTAACTTAATTACCTTTTTTAAAGGCCCAGGCTTTAAATATGGTCACATTCTGATGTAGAAGGGATTAGGACTTCAACATAATAATTTGGGGATGGGGGCACAGTGGCTCACGCTTGTACTCCCAGCACTTTGGGAGGTGGAGGCGAGAGGATTGCCTGAGCCTAGGGATTCAATACCAGCCTGGGCAACTTGGTGAGACCTCATTTCTACAAAAAAAAAGTCAAGAAAAGTTAGTCAGGCATGGTAGCACACACCTGTAGTTCCAACTACTTTGAAGGCTGAGGCAGAAGGATCACCTGAGCACAGCAGGTTGAGGCTGCAGTGGCCGTGAGTGTGCCACTGCACTCCAGCCTGGGTGACAGAGTAAGACTCTGACACACACAAAAAAGATTTTGGGGGTACACTATTTTGCCTATAATGACCACCTTATAAGTACTATTTTTACCTTCAAATTCCAAGTGAGAAAACTGAGGCTCAGAGGAGTTAAATTCATTCATTAATTTCCTTGGTGGCACCTGTCATTTCCTAGTCATAAACAAAACTAAGTTTCCTTCTTCATGGAATTTATATTCTAGTGAGGGAAGGCAGATTTAAAAAAATCATATTGGCTGGGTGTGGTAGTACGTGGCTATAGTTCCGGCCACTTGATTGGAAGGCTGGGGCAGAAGGATTGCCAGAGCCCAGCAGGTCGATGCTTGGGTGGCCGTGAGCACGATGCCGCACTCCAGCCTGGGCGACGGAGTGAGACTCCAACTCAAAAAAAACCAACAACTGTATTTGTTATGTCAGGTTGGATTGGGTGCTGTGAAGAAAAATAAGAAGGGGTATGAAGGTAGAAAATGCAGGGACAGGTGGATCTTCTGTTTTCAGAAGGGTAGCCTCTGATGAGCAGAGAGCTGAGTGAGATGAGGCAGCAGCTGGTGGGAATTGGCAGAGGGTGTGTATGAGAGGGAACGTCAACATGCAAGGTTTCTGCATGAGCTTCTGTGTGAAAGGGATGCCATGAACTGAGATGGGGGATTGCAGGAGGAGCATGTTTGAACCAGGCCTGGAGTTTAAGGCTTCTGTTTTAGACATGTGACTGCTTAGACTTCCAAGGAGTCACTTCTAGCACCACCTCTGCAGAGACTGCCATCTGCATGCAGAAGTACTGGCTCCGAATCTGCTATATTCTGCCTTTTTAAAAATCAAACATTGTAAACAACTTTTTCGTGTTATTAGAAAACTAATGGGCCTTAAGTCACATATCCCTAGTGCTTGGTAAACAGTATCTGTGAATAAATTAACAAAAGTGGACTCAGCAGCTGAAAAAAGCCAGTGCCTGGCACCCCTAACCCCTGCCCCACCCACCTATGCTGACTTTGCAGGAGCACCATTCAGTGCCCTGTATTCATTCCCCTGAATGCAGTGGACCCAAGGCCGCCTCCCCACAGAACCGGAGCCAAGCAGCTAGGGTTTCCCTGCAGGTAGGCTGGGCATGAAGCCAAGTAATCACTGTTCTGAGCTCTTGGTTCTTTCAGGAAACACAGCAGCGGAGAGCAGGAGACCAGCACACTGCCCTCGCCACCTCTCCTCACTGCAGTGGAGGATGTGAATCAGGTATTGAGGGTTGGCTCTGTGGGTGCAGACCCTGGGTAAGGTGTCATGGCTTCAGTCTTACGAGGGCCTCAAAGTAATGAGGGTCTTTTTTGTGGCGAATAACTTTTTTCTCGTGAGTTTGTGTGAATCATGAGCTATCTCAGCTAACTCAGAACCACACGCAGAGGAAGTTCTGGGGCTGTGCTGTCCAGTATGATAGTCACTCTCCACATGTGACTATTTAATTTCAGTTAATTAAATACAAATAAAAATTCAGCTCCTAAATTGCATGAGCCATCTGTGGCCAGTGGCTGCCATATTGGACAGTGCAGGCATAGAACGCTGCTATCATTGCAAAGTTCTGCCGGACAGTGCTGTGGGGAGGGGGTGGGGAACTCACCTTTCCTCCTAGGTGGGAATAGGAGCCAAGATCTGGGGAGGTGGGAAGATGATAAATGACCAGAAGTGCCACTAAGAGCTCTCTTCTTTCTCTCAGGATAACAAAACCAAAACGTGGCCACCCAAGGCACCCTGGCAACACCCTTCCCCGCTGCCCAGCACACTACCTAGCCCAAGCGCACCGCTCTACGCAGTCGCCAGCCCTGGCAGCCAGTGGAATGACACCATGCAGATGCTGCAGTCCCCCGTGTGGGCTGCCACCAGCGACTGCAGTGCTGCCTCCTTCTCCTATGTGCAGACCCCACCCCAGCCCCCAGCCCCACCAGCACACAAGGCAGCACCCAAGGGCTTCAAGGCCTTCCCCGGGAAGGCTGAGCGCAGGCCAGCCTATTTGCCCCAGTACTGACCCAAGACCAGCCTGCCAGTCTGCCCAGAGTTGTTGGGGCAGGTGTCCCCACCCCGGGGCCGACGGGTTCACATCAGCTCCCCAGAGGACCAGTGCCGCCCTGTCTCAGGGAGGGTTCCTTGGGGACGAGGGTGGTGGGCAGCTCTAAGCCTTTAAACCCGGCTTCTCAAACTTTGGAGGCATCGGCTCCCTGGAGAGCCTGCTAAAGACAGAGGTTTCTGACCCTCAAGGGGATGCTGGAGAATCTGCAGGCTAAGAAGCACTTCAGGTGATTCTGATGTAGATGGCCACAGGTGACACTCTAAGAAATACAGCTGTTCGGTTTTAAGTGGTGCTGTGTGTTGGAAAGGCATCAGGCCTGAAGGCTGAGAGCAAAACTGACCATTCTTTGGAAACCCTCTCTTTTCACTCCTTAACACCTTGAGTGATGACCACACCAGTCACTGTATTTTATAGCTATTTTGTCGTGTAGGTTTTTAGTTAAACTATCTCCTACCTAAAATACATTGGGTATTTTAAAATTACGAATATACTGGCTGGAGGTTTAACACTATCTTTATTTAAGCTTATACAAAATAAGCAAAGTATAGATTATTTGTGATCAGAAGCAATTGCCTGGGTTTTCTGTGGCTGGGCAGCCCCTCACCACCCAGCAGTACCCAGGGAGTGCAGCCTTTACCAGATTTACAAAAACAGGACTGTATAACTGATGTTATACATGATGCCATATTGCTGAAAGTATATGGAGACGAGCTAGCTGGCTGCTGTCTGTGTGCAGTCTAAAGCTGCACCTGCTGCCCTTGGACCCTCCCACATGGCCAGAGGCACTGACACATCCTCAGAGTGTAGGGGTGTGGGCAAGTGACTGCTCAGAGATACCTGCACTTGAAATTACAGTAACATTTGTGACAAACCAATTAAGATATAGATGGAAATTAATGTCTTTTCCTTAAAAAAAAAAAAAAAAATCCACCTCGTTTTCAGTTAAGTGTGCCATTAAATAGCTAACATCCTGTGGATTTAGGGATATATTTCCAGCCAGAATGGATCCAAAAGAATTGAATGGTGCTTAAATTGAGAAATAATAATAAATATATCTATATACTAGACATAACCCACTGTATATTAATTGAGGTTAAAGAAAGTTCTTTATATAAAACTTATTTAAATTTTTCATATTTCATCTTTGAAAAAGTCTAATGAGAAAAATCCATGATATTTTCTGGTATAAAAGTTTGACAGTATTAATATTTTTTTTTATATTTTCTTAAATCATTAAACCATTTTAATATATGTTAACTACTAATAAATGGTTTATTCTTCCTAACTCCATAAAAGCTTTTCCAGCAAAGATTGTGATAACACATTTATGTTCTCATTTTTCTACAGATATAAGTAAATTTATATTTAAAAATACCAAAAAATATATATATGTATGTACACACACACACACACACACACACACACACACACACACATTATAGAGGACCCTGAGGGTGTCTGAGCCCAGCCACCTGAATTTTTAGTACTGTGTTGTCAGGCTGTTTCTAGGCCTCGGGTGTTGTCTTTTGTGCTATGTGGGGATGCCATTGCTGCCTGTATTTATGATCTTTCACCGTGGGTTCTGAGCATTCACCTCACCATGTTTACAGAAAACTATTTTGTACATAGACTTTTTCAGGCACGTGCTTTGCACCAATCCTGCGTGGCTTTTGTCTGTTAGCTGTCACAGTGTGCACACTAATCTCTCTGTTAAAGTTGTTTGTGGCTGTTTTCCTTGTAAGATAGTTTTCTATCTCCTTCAGTAATGTGTCCACAGTACCCTGTATTTCAAGTTCTATTATACTGAAGTACTCTTGTTTTAATAGTGCCTCCCAAAAGACCTCATCTTGGACAGAGAGGTCGGCAGTCCTGATGCCCCAGCACTGGTGACATCGCTAATTGTCACTTTCCAGTTTGTTTTTCTCTATTAAGGAAGACATTTTGTAATTGCATCTCCATAAGCAATGAGATTGTGTGATGCTGTTTGTGTGGTCTCCGTGTAGGTGCTGTATTCCCAGCACCGCCTTGCTCTGAACACTGGTAATTCCAGGTGCTGCGCTTGGCAGAGGGGGTCTCGCCAAAGCGCATGTGTGTGCGTGTGTGAGTGTGTGTGTCCTTTGCATGGCCGGGCATGGCTGCCTTGCTCGGGCATCAGCAGGACATTGTGTGAATAGTTACAATGCTTCCAAACTGGAACTCTACATTTTGTATCTTACTTTTAAAGCTCCTATAAGTAAAATAACTATTGGCTTTATTAAAGTATACATTTAATAATACTTGTATCTTTTTTAAAAAATGAACTGCAGGACTGGGTGCAGTGGCTCACCTGTAATCCCAACACTTTGGAAGGCCAAGGTGGGAGGATCACTTGAGGCCAGGAGTTTGAGACTGGCCTGGGCAACATAGCAAGACCTTGTTGCAGAAAAATTAATGAGCTGAGCATGGTGGCATGGGCCAGTAGTCCCAGCTATCAGAAGGCTGAGGTGGAATGAATGCTTGAGTCCAGGAGTTTCAGGTTACAGTGAGCTATCATTGTGCACTCCAGCCTGGACAACAAATTGAGACCTTGTCTCTTAAAAAAAAAAAAAAGGTTGGGCGCGGTGGCTCAGCCTGTAATCCTGTGCTTTGGGAGGCTGAGGTGAGTGGATTGCCTGAGCCTGCAGGTTTGAGACCCGCCTGGGCAACTTGGTGAGACCTCATCTCTACAATAAATAAAAAAATTAGCCTGTTGTGGTAGTGCGAGCTTGGAGTTTCAGCTACTTGGAAGGCTGAGGCGGAAGGATCGCCGGAGTCCAGCAGGTTGAGGCTGCAGTGGCCAGGAGCGTGCCACTGCACTCCAGTCCGGGTGACAGAGTGAGACTCCAACTCAAAAAAAAAAATTAAAAATAAATAAAAAAGGCCAGGCACGGTGGCTCAAGCTTGTAATCCCAGCACTTTGGGAGGTGGAGGTGAGAGGATTACCTTAGCCCCGGGATTCAAGATTAGCCTGGGCAACCTGGCGAGACCTCATCTCTACAATAAATCAAAAACTAGCTGGGCATAGTGGCGCATGCCTGTAGTTCCAGCTACTTGGAAGGCTGAAGCGGAAGGATCACCTTAGTTCAGCAAGTTGAAGCTGCGGTGGCCATGAGCATGCCACTGCACTCCAGCCTGGGTGACAGTGAGACTCCAATTCACAAAAGAAAAAGAAAACCTGTGGTAGACGCTATATCAGAAGGCCTGCTTTGATAAGCTGAATACAAGTTGGTTTTTAGGTCAGCCTGTTCGTTGATTCTGAGACCTAGCACAAAGAAGACCACTTGGGATAGTCAGCTGGAGTGGAGGGACAGGAAGCAAAACCATCAGCCACACCTCCCTTTTTGGCTTCCCTAAGGCTGACTGGTTTAGGCATCTGTGTAGGTGGAGCCTATGTACTGGTAAAGGAAACTGTCTCCTGGAAGGATGCAGGAGACAGTTTGGGGTCTGCCAACACTCATCCCACTAAGTGTGGGGGCTTGATCTGCCCAGCCAGTCCATCCAAGGAGCAGGCCCAGGAACGAGGACTTGTTTCGCCCTCTCCCCATACGAAGGACCCAATCTGTGCTAGAGAGACCCTGCCTCACAGGGATAAGAATGACCTTTCTCACTGGATGATGCCATCCTGCTAAGCAGAAGGAAGACAGTATGAGAATCACAAATGGAGGGTGGGTTACAGGGGCATTTCAACTCAGAGCATGAAATTGAAACCTTTTTCGTGAACTTAGGCAAATGGAGCAATGTGAACAGTAATATACAAGGGAGACCCCAAATATGGAGTGATTTGTAAAAAATTGCGTATTCTTACATGTTTAAATTTAGTCACCTTCAAAATTCTCTGATTGATGCAATATACCTATTGAGATGCTTTTTCCACTGCTCAAAATCATTTTGAACTTGTCAATTTTGATGCCTTTTAGTGCTTCTGCCTTTTTTTGTTTCACCTCTTCCACATAGGCAAAACGTTTCCCTTTGAGTACTTTTTTTTTATCTGGGGTAACAAAAGTTGCTCGGGGTGAGATCAGGTGAATAGGGAGGCTGGGGCGCGGGGGTCATGCTGCTTTTGGTCAAAAACTGCTGAACAGCTGGGCTCGATGGCTCAGCCTGTAATCCCGCGCCTGTGGAGGCTGAGGTGAGTGAATTGCCTGAGCCTGCGGGTTCGAGACCCGCCAGGGCAACTTGGTGAGACTTCATCTCTACAATAAATAAAAAAAAAAATTAGATGGGCGTGGTAGTGCGCGCCTGTAATTCTGGCTACTTGGAAGGCTGAGGTGGAGGGATCGCCGGAGCCCAGCAGGTCGAGGCTGCGGTGGCCGGGAGCGGCCACTGCACTCCAGTCTGGGCGACAGAGTGAGACTCCAACTCAACAACAACAACAACAACAACAACAAAAAAACTGCTGAACACTCATCGGGGTGTGGACAGGTGCACTTGTAAATCACCCATCATGAAATGAGCAAACACTTGAAAGAATCTAGGCCAGGCTCGGTGGCTCAGCCTATAATCCCAGCACTTTGGGAGGCCAAGACGAGTGAATTGTGTGAGCCTGCAGGTTCGAGACCAGCCCGGGCAACTTGAGGAGACCTTGTCTCTATGATAAATGTTTAAAAATTAGCCAGGAATGGTAGCATGTGCCTGTAGTTCCGGCTACTTGGAAGGCGGAGACGGAAGGATTGCTGGAGCCCAGCAGGTTGATGTTGGGATGGCTATGAGTATGCCACTGCACTCCAACCTGGGTGATGGAGTGAGACTCCAACTCAAAAAAATAAAATCTACAAAATAAAAAATTATACCAGAGGCCAACAGCCTCTCACAACACCATCAGTTGGTACACTGATGCCAGAGGGTTCCTAGAACATTACCTAATGGCAGAAGCCCGTACTACAAGGGGCCCACCCTCTAAGAAACTAATTTGGGTTTTTTGGTCCCCCTCATCTAGCCTAGTAGTGTAAGTACCACTAACGTTTCTTTCTGCAGAGAAGCCCTAAAGTTGAGCATGGGGACCAAGTCTCAGAGCCTTCCAAATGTGCCGCAGGATGGTTGCTTAGTAAAAGCCAAGTTGCATGAGTGCTAAGGAATACACGGAAGTTCATAATTAAAATGCTAGCAGCAGGCTTGGCGCGGTGGTTCATGCCTATAATCCCAGCACTTTGAGAGGCTGAAGTGAGAGGATTGCCTGAACCCACGGGTTCGAGACCAGCCTGGGCAACTTGGCAAGCCCTCATCTCTAAAATCAAAAAATTAGCCAGGTGTGGTAGCACGTGCAGGTAGTTCCAGCTATTTGGAAGGCTGAGGTGGGAGGATCACCTGAGCCCAGCAGGTTGAGGCTGCAGTGGCCGTGAGCATGCCACTGCACTCTGGCCTGGGCAACAGAGCAAGACTCCAACTAAATAAATAAATAAAATGCTAGCAGCAAAAAAAAAAGTCATATTTTATTCAAGTGTGTTCCTATTTAATGAAGCACCCAGTCCTGTTAGCTGGCGTTGATTCAAAGCAGTGGTGAAGTCAGCCCTGTAGCCCTGGCTATGTGCCAGGTGGGTGGGGCTGGAAGCAGAACAGATGTTACACCTGAGCTAATCCCTGGAGGCCTTGGGCCATCAGAGAAATGGAGGAGGACGAGGACACACCGGCAGTTGAGGTGGAGAGGCGCTTCCCGCTCGGGGCAGAGGGGCAGTGGTGGTAGTGGTGTAGTTGAAATGCTACATCCCAGCCATGGAGCTGTGAGGGGCGGTCCTCTGTGCACTGTGTGGCCACTGTTGTGACCTGCCTCCTGATCTGGAGACAAAGAGGGAATAAATTCTTCCCAACAGTCAGTCCCGGAATTCCCAAAAACTGTATGTGGACAGCATGACTGGTTGCCTCCCAACCATATATACCCGGGAGTCTGAGGAACCGCCAAGGACCGGCTCTGGAAGTAATACACACAGCTGGCCGTACAAGGGTACGCTGGCGGGGCCCAGGCTTTTGTGTGTCTGAGGGGGCTGGATGTGGCTTGTGCTGGAATGCTGAGTTGGGGGTGCAGGCCTAGGTGAAGGTGAGGGATCCTTTTACATGTGCCATGTTCATTTCAACATTTACTGTCACCTAGGGCCAGTCTCTTGCTAGGTGCCAGGACTGCAAAGGAATCCCTGCCCTTGAAACTTTGTCTCTCAGGGGAGACAACTCCATCTTTCCGGTCATTGTAAGAGTACTACCGTCCATCCACTCAGTTGCTCAGGCTGAAATCCTAGAAGATATTTTTGGTTCTTCTTTACTCTTTTTCATTCAATTTATTCTTTTGTCATTCAATTAATTAGCAGGTCCTTTAAGTGTATTTTCAAAGACACTCAAATTCCATCACGTTCTCACATCTCCGCTGGCATCAGCCTGGTCCTCACCTGGCTCCTGTCTCTTCTGCTACAGCCTCAGGGTTTTCCGTGCACCACCCCTGCCTCCAAGTGGTCTTACCTTGTACCCTCCAACCCATGTACCTGTTGCTCTCAAAGCTCCTTGGGCCTTTCCATCCGTTTTCTGGGACCAGGCCGGGCACAGCGGCTCACACCTCTAATTCCGGCACTTTGAGAGGCCGAAGAGGGAGGACTGCTCGAGTCCAGGAGCTCGAGACCAGCCTGGGCAACCTAGTGAGACCGCATCACTACAAAAAACTTAAAAACCAGCTAGGCGGGGTAGCTCACACCTGGAGTCCCAGCTACTCCATAGGCTGAGGTTAAAGGATGGCCTGGGCCCCGGAGGTCGAGGTCGTGGTGAGCTGTGATCCTGCCACTGCACTCCAGACTGGGCAACAGAGTGAGACCCCACCTTGAACAAAAACAGGCCATCTTCCCACCTGGCTTCGTTTCCCGTTATAGTACTTAGCACTTCCCTGGAATCCTGTGTTTGCTCCCCACGAGAACAAAGGCCCCACGAGAGCAAGGCGCGATCTTGTTCACGGCCACACGTCCAAGGTGCAGGACAGTGTCGGTGACCACCAGGAAGCGACTTGGGATGGATGAGGGGGGGTCGCTGGGGCCGGAATCGCCCTTCTCGTGGCAACCACACCTGCGTACGACGGGGAAGACGGTTTCAGAGACCGAGCGATGGCGTCACGGGGACGAAGGCGAAGGCGAAGGCCGCGCCGCGGCTCACGACCCCA